AGGACGCATCAAAAAACCCGCATTTCTTTTTACGACTTTCTGAAGATTTCTTGCGGCCAGACTATCTCAACCTTAACATCATTCCGTTCGCAACATTGCGCTTTAGAACGTAGGCAACCGCGCAACTTTCAAAAGTCATGAATTTGATGGAAAAATTTAAAGGAAACATGCGAAAATGACTTTCGTTTGAAGTCGTTTTTTATTCTAAATTAAGAAAAGTGATTCTACTTTCAGTCTCATTCTCAGCGCTTAACTTTATAGTTTGAGGACATACCATTCATCTCACGTGACTCTCTCCTAATCCCATAAATCTCTTTGTTTTTCCGCGTTTCCCCCGTTTTCCGCCCTTCGTTGGTCCCAAAGAGAAAAATGTATGCAATCAAAGCGCGAATGTTCAAAATTCAAATGACTGCTCAAGGACTTAAGAGTGTCAAATACGTTGAAGCACGTTGAATCATGTCAATATTGTTCAGAATCTCACTTTTATGTAAAAAGACGACTCTAGCTCCACAATTTTTTGGAGGTATATGCACGAAAAGGAAGTGGGACGAGGAAAATGATTGGAGAATGATTGAAGGAAATGTAATGTCATTTTTGCAACATTTTCAATCGTCTTCTGTTGAAAGAAAAGTTTCTGACTGCTTTTTGAATCAAGAACATTTCCTTATTTCCTCTTCAGCTACTATAGCATATCAAAAACCACCATCACTTTTTGCAAAGGTCTTTAGTTAAAATCACTATCACTTTTGTTCTCTTGTCTCTGGAGTATCGAACCTATGGTCTCCTTTGACTTACAAATAACATAACTTTTTACCGCTGTCTAAAAATTCATTATCCTTCTTATGCCATTGGCTTTGCCACAACTAAAAGTCAAGCAAATTCGATTATGAATGAAATAGGAATATGAGCCTTCTTTCTGAAAGCAAATTGTCGCTTTGCAATTAATGACTTATGGCAAGTCAAAGCGAATAAAAGTCTCCATAGATCTGTGTGGAATTTCCGTCTTGCAAATCCTGATTCTTTTGTCGAATATAGGAAGACGTATATCTTGGGAAAATAAAACAATCTAGCAAAGATGGCAGCCTCTCATACACTTTGATAGAACTTAATGATTAAAAAAACAAATTTGTACTTTCAAATAGTGAAAAGTGTCTAATAAAAGCCATTTAACATATATTTACACATTTATTTTTTTGTGTCGAACGAAACATCAAAAAAAATCTTCATCAAAGCTTGCATTAATTACAGTCATAGCTCATTCTTCAGTTGACGTGTAGCCGTTTCCTACCAATTGTAGCATTTTCGCTGGTATATGGTATAAGTAGTTGAACATTGCGAATGTTACATCCACGCAACAACTATCCTGGTAAACCTAAATCAAATACTACCGTATTATTAGCAACAGAACAAAGCTAAGTCTCGTGTCTGTCCTCTTTCTTTGCTGTTACTATTATTGTTGGCTTCTATCCCGTGTTTATATGTTTGGCTAATTATAAAATGCGCATTTTTTGTTGCAAGATTGTGTGTCCTTTGAAAGTAGAAATGTGTAATTGGGACGATATTGTCATTATGTTTGAATCGTTTACTTCATATCAATATTCCTAGAAATTAGGCGTTGTCGTGGCTGAGTTGTTACAATACGCTCTTCTTACCCTTTATGCTCCCGAACTCTAGCCATTGTTTGACTGAGCTATTTGGGCGGTTTCAGGTAAATTTGTGATTTTGAGCCCATATCCTCTATCATTGTTTTACAAGAAAGGTTTCCATTTAAACTCAAACTGAACTGAATCTCACCGATGTCTCAAATAGCACTACTAATTAGAACTTCGAGAAATCAAAGATTTGTGCGGTCCAGCGT